ATGCGATTAATCATAGTCTTGGGCAGTCTCCATCCTGAAGTTCATATTAAAATTCATACATGGTTCAATGATCACAATCTCGTGTATATGAGTCGTATATAATTAAGATTGAAAAGATAGTCGAATAAATAATTCTTCTTTACGTTCTCATCCTAATGAGGAAAAGAAGTTAAAGTGGAATCTTCAATTCTAAACCTGTAGAACCTTGATTATATATCACTCTATGTATACATTCTTCAGTGATAGATCAACTGTATGGATCCTTGGATTGAACTTGACGTACTGTACGAGTGGTACTTGGGGGAGGTTTGTGGAGATTTCTTCGGAAGGGCTAAGAAATATGAGGTACTCCATGCATGAGTACTTCGGTGACCTGGTATGACAGCTTCGCTGGAAAGTCGATTTCGAAGAAAGAGATGTGTGTACGAAACTGGTATTGTAAGGATCGAATTGACTCAAATTGTATGATAATATCAGAATCATATGGGAATTAAGGACATTAGATTTGAACATAAGGCGTTACAAACAAAGCACCACAGTGCAACCTTGAACAGAGTTACAGTACTTTAGATTTACAACTAGAATATTGTTGAGAATAAGGTATACTACAAAATACAAGTATACGCAGTATGAGGGTCCCTTAACTGACGGGATCCCGCAAAAGGTAAGACTCGATTCGCACAAATTTTAAACAGTTTATAAGTCTGTTACAATGGAACGCCTTAATTACTTTTATGTGGGTTCGGAGTAGTCTCCCCTGCGGCAGTGATCCTTAGAATTCTGCTGTCTGCGCCAGAGTTCTTTGTTATAGGACAATCCTTCTTGAAGTGCCCTTTCTCACCGTATTGGTGGCATGACTAGCTAGTACTAGCATTGGTGGTGGGAGTGAGGTGTTTAGTCAGAGTTACATGGACACGAGTGCCTTCCTCGTTACTCCACTTTGAAAATTTCCTTTTAGAGACTCCGGCTTTATCACTACTTTTGTGTGTATGGTTGGTCCTGATGCCAGGGGACTGGAGGAATGGGTCGTGTCGGTGCTGAAGGGGCAGGAGTTGCCACTTGCTGCTGTTGCATGGCAAGTCTTTCGAATCGCTTTCTCTCACTTCTGGCTTGGCGATATCGTCTCCTTTTTTCGGTCTTAGGGCTTCACAAGTCCGTGATTGTTGTCATTTTGTTGACTTCCCGGATTGGTACTACAATCAGAACTCTCGACTCCTTTGTCAGTCTTGTTTGTGTTGCCGGAGTTGATGTGTGTCAGGAAAGTTGTCACATCAGCTGCTACTGCAGCTTGTAACGTAGCGGCGTCGATATGGAGGATAGGGGTTTTGTTGCTTGGCTGATTGTTTCCGGATGACGACATGATTCTGTAACACGAAAGATAAGGATTTTGTGAGCGATTTTGGTTGACCCTAAATGTACTACGATCGCTTAAGTAAAGAGTAAGAGTATGTTCTCGAAAGTTTGACCTACATCCCTATGATGAAGTCCTACTACGGAATTGAAGTATGTTCATGCAGGTTTGACCTACGTCTCTATGATGCAGTCCTAGAAAGAGTGGAAGTAAGTTCGTAGAATGGTCTCCAGATGTTTTTTCGTTCAAGCCGAGGTATGAATGGTTGGTGGATAATATGATCCAACCTTTGAAAGAGGCTTGAAGATGATCCCGGAGTTAAATTACTATAGTCCGAAGGCTTAACTAAAGCAAATTTCAGATAGACTCAAATGAAGGTATGATAAAAGTATTTGAACAAACAATAACTCAGGAGTTAGTCGACTGTCAATATCATCGATGTTTAATATGTAATAAATTTGGGAAAATTGACCTTGGAGTAGGTCTTACATCACATCTGGAGTAGAGAAGTCTTTGACAGCATAAAGACCTAACTA